CCTTCACCACCGTAATCACTGAATTATTTTGTTACGAGGAAAAGAAAATATTACAAGTAAAAAGTTGCAATATAGTAACGATTTTTCAACATTTCAGCTGTGATGATTTTCTTAGCTCTTTGCGACGCTTTCAACCCTGTGCTGCAGAACTGCAGAGCAGGCTAGCACTGAACAGGGGTCCTGCAATATTACATCACTTGTTCATGTATTTATTATGCTGGGACTGAACGATGCAGTTATAGATGGGAACGAAAAAAAAAAACATTTTATGGACCGGTCAAAGCCTGTGCTGCTTCACGAAAATCTTTTTTTTTTTTTCATCGAAAAGCATTACCATCACCGATGCTCTGTCAAAGCTGATGTGAGCACATGATTGTGACTAATATTTCTAAATATTTTAGTTTTGCCATGCTAGAAGTGCCAAGAAAGGTTTCCATTTTAATCTCCGATAAATCACATCAGCCTTGCTTATAACAACTTGAAGCTATGGTGGCATGCTTGCAAAGTGGCGACGAATAGAGCAGTGGACTCGAGCTCAGTGGGAAGCTAAGTAGACAAAAATGCTCAATATACGTTTGGTTCTTCAAGAATTACTTCACATTTAAAACTGAATTTTCGTGAGCTGTCTCTAGTCATATTCTCAAGTAATTCAAGTCATATTCTCAAGTCATATCCTCAATAAAACTGATGAGGCGCAGAAAAAATTGCGTTGAAGCGAAAATTTTGCTGCAGTGAAACAAAAAAATATACAGCTGATCTGAGACAGTAAAACAAAGGAACGTTTATTCTCAAAATTAAAAAAAAAAATGTTCGCTGCTTCCTATTCTTTCCCAGCAGCATCACGATGTGATTCTCATCATAGCTAGTTCATAGTGAAAAGCACACTGAAACAACGCTTAAAACCACTTTCGTGAACGAACCAAACAGTTGCATCAACACGTTAACACCAGCAGCTGTCTGCCGGTATCCGACAATGCCGAGATGGAGGCAGGCTATCGAGGAGTGGCGGCTTTTGCATTATCCATCACTCGCGGCTTGCTAATTTTGTTGATAATGCAGATGAACAGCCACTCTGATTAGTTACCACACCGATTAGTAATCAAGCTTCAGAATCGAAAAAGGCATCGTTCCGCGGTTGCACCCAGAAGCTGCGAGAAGGAAACCATGAACTCAGCAACTCAGCTTCAGCTTCGCATCGTCTGCGGCTCAAAAGCAAGCCAGCAGGGCAGTCTCATTGCCATCGCTATCAAGCAATGGCGGCACCCATGCTTGCTGAACAGCAGCGGTTTCTGGTGGTGCCAACGCGCGTTTTAGACTTCGTTGACGCATTTTTCAGGCTCTGAAAATGCACCGAAATGTTAACGATTAGGTTTACTGCATAGCAATAAGTATCTGAGCCTGGAATTGTGTCGTAAAAATTCGTTGAAGCGGGACGACCGAAGAAAAAGTGTTCATTGTGGCGAGTTCATTGTGGCGACAATATTTATGCATTGATTCCTATAGTCTGCTGACGGGGAATCTTGAATTTTTCGTTTAGCAGAAATTTCGTTGAAGGGGCGTTTGTTGTAGCGGAGTTCGGCTGTACAAATGAACCAAAATTCTTACCTGACTTATAAAATCTGTCTTTGATCAGGGACCTACGACTGAAATGCCAGACTGCAATCGGCATAGAGTTTCATACAGTGATACCTAGAGAGGAATTTGGCGCAGCGATCCTGTACCTCAATGAGAGTTATGGGAAGTACAGGCTTCGAATTAGATAGGGTTAGCTAGTGAACAGTTAGTTACGTTGGGTTTTATGGCGCAAAAGCAACAATGGCTCTCATGCGCCAGACACTGGGTGATTATGATAATAGGGTTAAAATGTGAGGTGAAAAACAGATTTCTGTTTGCAGTTTGTTTAGAAGACCTGTGGCGTCTAGAAACCTAAAAACACCCTGTATGGGGATGGGTGCATTTTCTGATAGTATTAACAATGGGTGTAGAGGTGTTTGTGTTCTGTAAGATTGTTTAAAATAAACGTGTCTACTTTTTTCAAAGACTGGGCATGTATTAAAATATGATTGATAGTCGGAGGTTCCCTGCAACGTTCGCATTCTGGCTGATCTTCTCTGCGTAATAAAAAGTTTTGGGTGAGGTGAGTATGACCTATACGCAGGCGGCATAGTGTTACTTCGATGAAGCGCCAGTGGTGATTGCAAGACTTACATTCTTGTAGAATAGGCTTAATAATTTGAAGCTTGTTATGAGATTGAGCGGGCCATTCTTCTTGCCATTTTGTCCTAAAGGTTGTCCGACAACTGTTGCGCTTGCGAACAGTCTACGGACTTTTTTCTACAGTTTCAGTTTTTTTCTTCACGCAGCGCAGATAGTGGAAAAGGCTGAAGCAGTGCCTTTGTTGTTTGAAGAGGCTGATGACCAGTACTAGATCTCCTGATTTGCTGTGGTGTTGGAGCTTCAAGGGGAGATGCGGCTCGAAAAACGAGTTTTTTTTTTCAAAATTACTGATTTTTTTATTTTCGTCTGTTTTGATAAGATTAGCACCTCTACTGTTATGAAAAAAAATAATACAGGTCGAAACTTAACTAGAAATGCTTTAAATTGCATCTAAAGAGCACAAGGTGCCTGTTAAAAGGTCGAAAGTGTGGAGTCTTCGAGCACCTTGCCGCCAATAATGCGCCGCCGCTCGCCATTGTTGATCGCATGAGTCGAAAAGTCGAGCCTCACTCTTCAAATAACAACAGTTTCTATCACTAAGGAAGCGCAAGAAATAATAAAAAGAAGCACACTTCTGCGCGTTTCTCAAGCACCGCGACTGGCTTATCATATCGTACGAATCAGGCACCGCCATTGGCAACTGCGCGCTTGTATGTGCTGCGAAACTTCTTTGCGGGGTCCATGTCTTGTCGAGCAGCGCAGCTGAACAATGCTTTTCTAGCGTAAATATCTGCATTATGAATGAAAAAAGGCATTACTCGCAAGTGAAAGCCGTTGTGCTGCGTGCTTTGTAGGAATAGGCTACGAGCAGCTGGTCCGATTTGCGGCAGTTAATTTGTTGGCTTGCAAAAGCCAATGTGTCAGAAGTTATTCACACCCGTTGGCCGGAAAGTTCGTGATGCGGCAACACATGATGTCAGCGCCAATCTGGCGAGATCGAAAGAGCTCGCAGTTAGAGAACTTAGCAGGGACGGCATTGCAAATATGTACGACAGTATGTGGCACAAACATGGCTGCAAAATGGCATGACACTGGACTTAGTTTGGATATCGCAGTCCTGTCGAACTTCTTCCTAGCGTGTAGTTGGCACAAGGCTCTGCCAGACGGAGCGGAAGTTTGGCAAGCGTTTCATGGCCCTGCCTGTGAGCGAAATGTCTCTGAGGAGTCGGCTCGAAGAAGCCGTGAGGGACAAACTCAGACCACTGGGACAGACGCAAATAGCGTCGCAGAAGACGAAACAATAAGTGTTTCTCATCTAACATGGTACGGTTATTTCCATAAATAGATAATACATACTTTTGAGAGAAAAACAAGCATGTTTGTTTTCAAGTGTTGTAAAAAATAATTCATTATTTGATGCCAAATCTGAAACGTAATGATAGAGCAGTGCATACTCTGACGGTTGAATTTGCACAGGTTTCACTTTTGCCACCTGGTCACGAAACGTTTTTGCAATAAAGCTTGTGTACAAACTATTGAAGCAAGTTTCAATAAAGTTTAAGTTGATATCACTGTTTTACACTCGGAAAAGAAGTGTCATGAATCTCAAGATTATAATCCATCTGAAGCTGATCCGAAGCCTGTAATTCTCATAATTCCCATGGAAGTACAAGCGCCGCCGAAGAAGCCCATGTAGACATTAGCGCGAGATTCCCCTATAGGGATTATTCTATGAAACTCTATGGTAATTGGCTTCAGCTAGCACTGCCTTACAGAATAGAAAAATGACCCACTGGACATATTGTTCAAGCAAGCATATACATGTTTATTACCATAAATTTGTACAAGTATATCATCCAGTAAAAGAACTTGCATAAAGTGCTTTGTAAATGAAATTTCATTGACATAACATAATAAACTAAGTCCCTTGTGTACATTCATTCCAAGTTCTGATTAAAAAGAAAAGTCCAAAGTTATAAATTGTGCTTTCTGTCTCGGTAAATGTGCGGAATGAAACACACACAAAAGTATACCAACGAGTGTATAAGCAACGAATATAACAGCAAACCAAACAAAACAAGAACACGTTTCCAAAATGTTTAAAACTAACAGCCAATATGACTCAAATCCCCGAAGTTTCAAACAAACAGGCTTCTTCAAACATATCCATAACTATGTATAACAGTTTCTGCGCTTTGTGGGCACAAGTAAGCCACGTTCACACTGAGCATTGCGGCCGCCGAAAGTGCTCCGAATCCGGTTCGGCGGCAGCGAGATCCGCCGGAAGGGCCCTCTCCGCGCCGATAGTTCTCGGACCGATTTTTGTGGCGTCTGCCGCCGAATCGGTCATCGCGGACCAATAGGAGCGCTAGTCAAGGAATTTTGAAAAATGGCGGCCAAGCCCTACTCACTTGTTATGCCGCAGTGCACGTAACTGAATGTTGAAACAAACGGGAGTTTAACCTACTCTGTGCCTACTTCGCCTCCGTATTTCGTGAAAGAGGTGACTGAGCTTGCTGTTGGCATGACCGAGCTTGTTGCGGTCTTGCAGAGCAAAACGAACCCACGCTGGCAATGGTGGTTTTTCTGCTCTTCGTGCATTACAAGACAGCCACTTGCCAGCAAAGTAAGCAGTACTGTCTTTTCTTGCTTCTTGCGTACGAGAATCGTCGAAGTATACACCACTGGATAGCGTAGTAGCATTTGCGAGCCGCGACAACAACCGGGTGACAGCGCATTCATCCCGCGTTCGCCCCGTAGTAGATGGCATATTCGGCGGTGCGGGGTGCATCCAGTGCGAACGACGCTGTGTTTCGGCGGCAGGGGAATTTCGGTCGCTGTAGAAAGCGGATGTTTCAGTGTGAACTAAGCATTAGTTCAATTTCAGCACCGTCGCAGGAAAGAAAACGTGTATAAAAAATACTTAACATTGGGTTGTGTTTGGCAAGGACTTGACAAAGGGAAGCAAATACGGACAGTAACATCAGGACAGAATGGCTGTGCTTCGGCGAACAGAGACATTGTTCACATTATCCAAGCTGGACCACTTTTTAAAGCCATTCCTATGGAGTTCACCCAGCTTGTCTTCACACACCCTTGACATAGCCTGTAAATAAGAAATGCAAAGCAATCTATTCACAATGGGAATTGTGCACTACAATGTGATAGATGTGTCGTTGACACAAGCAGATGTTTATGACAGCTGCCAGCAATTATCTCAACTTCAGGCATCATATAATTTACAAGGCTTTTTTTTTTTTTTTCCAAATAGTTCCTACTATAGGTGGCGAGATCAAGTGGATTCTCCACCTGGTAGCTACTGGCCGACGCACGCCTGGAGTGGATTGCTCCCTAGCCTTGTCATGTGCTAGCCATGCCAGGTCTGCATGTGCGCCAACGTGACACACGTTCTCAAAGGGTGGTTTCTTTCATTAAGCTTGCACAAGCTTAACTGTTAGTATGTGTGCCTAACATGATGTACAGAAGCACTTGACTTAGCTTCACACCATATGTATAGTAATACGATAAGTGAGTGCTATGTACTGTTGTCATACCCTCTGTTCGACAGAATCAGTTCAGTGTGGATGCCGCCTTCTGGATCAAGCACATTGTGAAGTGCAATTTGCATCCTCACCAACATAACGAGCAATAAATGGTGTGTGATTGCAATGTTTTAGCGATTCGGTGGCAAACACAAATGACCTTTAGGCTAAGCACTTTCATGCTGTTGCTAGGCGTATAGTAATTACTGCGGCACTGAAGTTTATCGGTTTTGAGATGACCTTTAGTTGTGCTTTAGATGTCCTTTTATTGCTGTGCCGTGGCCTCAGAACAAATAAATGTTTATACCAAGTAAAGTGCGACCCTACGATTGCTTTGATAAAACAGTTGCTGTGTGCAATGTTAACTTGATGACGTAATTCATGCACATCCACCCATGTGATCAGATTTAGGTACGCACCCGGCTGTTCAGAATTGACCCAGGCAGCTAGCATTACATTTATGTCTATGTAGGCAAGAACAGGTACGTATATGTTATAGTTTGTCACTGTAGCACTGAAGTACTGTCAGCCACATAGCCTTCCTGCATAAATTTATCAACTGCCTTGCATTTCATAGAGAATTTAATTTAAAAAAATAGCATACACGACTATGTAGGAACATCGCAAGCTGCAGTCAACGCATTTCATTCGCAAACAGCTCACAATCAAAATTTTTAGATACTGTCAGTTGGAAAAGGTCGCTCCAGAGGTGGCCCCAACTCGCATCCGCTCTGAGGAACGGCACAGGCGTAGCGTTGAGATTTAGCCGCTGCCTAAGACCACAGCGGCGGGAGCTTGAAGGGAAGGTTTGATTTCAGTCATCGCAATATTAATTAACAAGTTTAACAACAATCAAGCATGCTTCATTGAATTAGCAGTATAATATAGTAAACATGCTGACCTGCAGCGCACCGGGCTGTGGAAGTGGCTATGCCTTTGAGGAAAACACTTGCGATTGGCGGCACTTCTTCAAACCCCCAAAATTACCCAGCAGTTCTTAGGACCTGAACAGCTGTTATTCCACAAAAAGCCTTCCTAGTGACAATCAAGACATACATTTCCGACCTTCATTTCAAATCCAAGGACCTAACCACTTGCTGCGAGCACATCGTAAAAGGAAACAAGAAACTTTCATGTGGTATGTGGACACCTAAGCCCGGTGCATTTCCTCGACTTTTCCTGAATATTCCTGCACACTTGTCTAAACCAGCAGCATTAAAGCACAAAGGGAAACCACTGAAACTTGGAGAAACCGCTAATTGCGAGGGCCTTGTGTCCACAAGTGGTGGCTATGTGTCGAAGTTAACATGGAAAACAGCGATGTTGACAAAGCTACTGGCATCCCCTCTGATCCTGAGTTGTGTCTGGAGGTAGCAACTTGGTTCCCTGTACGTATTACTAAACCGAATTATGTCATAATTCTGGAAGGCCGATTTCATCAAGGAAGAAGTTTTTTTTTTATTTCGCTCTTTGTGCTGCGCTGAAAGCTTTAAAGCAAAGTCAGCCAGAGGGTTGCGCTATACAACAGAGTGGCTGATCACTTGCCTGCCCCTTAAAATATCAAGCCCTGCTGCTGCCTATAGGCTGATGCCGAAGGTGAACATACTGCCTCTGCCGACATCGTCCCGCCTTAAATAAATTATCAAGGGAATGCTTTGTGAATTAGGGTTCAAAGAGGTTTCAGTCAAGAATATATGTTGTGCAGGAAGAAGACCGGTCATCAGTTAGTCCACTTGACTGATAGAACCTTTGGAAAGCAGTGTTTTCATTTGCCGAATGTCGTTCTACACTTTTTCTCTAAAACTGTGGCCCTATTAACCGTCTCCTTTAGTTTTTAGTAGTCGAGCATACTTTTTGGTGAAGTTTCGTTGGTTTTGTAGATTTCTCTTCTTTTTTTCTACCGAGATCTCCTGTTATTCCTTGTGTTCTTGCATGGTGGGCATATGTCTATCCGGGACAGCCCAAAAGTGATCCTCCACATGTCCCGGATCTTTGGGGCTGATGTGGCGGTCGAAATCGAAGGGAATCGGCTGCTATGACAGCCAGTATCTTCAGGTGATCAACATAACTGAGAAAAGTTGATACCATCTACAAGCTGGTTAGTTTTAGCTGGCATCTCAAACCATGTTCGCTGTATGCACATGAGTGACAAACTTCGCCTTACAACTGAGGACAAAGGTGAAGTCTTTTGTTACCACCACTGCTTGTCCATTTCGACAATACCTTTGTTTTGAACAACTTAAAAAAAAATTACCTGGATAATGTTGGCATTCCTGGTATGAAACTTTCGTCGGTCTTGTACTGCAGGCAACCAAGAGCTACCTCTGGACATATCGCTGGATCGGATGGGACACCAGTAGCTTCATCAACATAACAGTACTCCATGCTAACGTCAGGCACATTGCCGCCATAGGCCCACATATGGCCCTAGAAATTCGCGGTTTCTTCTAGTTTCGAGGTTCTTTTTTACGCTTTAATGCCGCTGATTTAGACAAGTGTGCAGGAATATTCATGAAATTTCTAGGAACAGCACCGGGCTCTAGTGCCAACGGACCATAATGAATTTTGAGAATTTTTCCGCCTACTATATGCTTGCAGCAAAACTTTAGGCCCTCCGGTTCAAAATGTAGGTCTTGACTGTCACCTGGAAGGCGTCTCGTGGAATAGCAGCTGCCCAAGCCTTGAGAACTGAAGAATTATTTGGAGTTCGGAAAAGAGCCGCCGTTCGCAAGTGTCTTCCTCGGAGGCATAGCTACTTCGACAGCCCAGCGCACTACAGGTCGGCATGTTTACTATGTTAAACTGCTAATTAACTCAAGCATGCTTGATCGTCTTTTCACGTGTGAGACAAAAATGTGAAAGAGCTTTTCCAAATAAAAGGTATTTAAATACTGGCTGTATGACATCTATTGCATTGTGTTCTATTTTTTCTTAAATTAGTCTTCCATAACTTTGGAAGCTCTTCTCAACCCCTCGGATAATTCCAGCTACAATCCAAGAAGTTTGTGTATGAAATGCATCTTCACATAAAATTTAGACCATTTATGTCAGCTGTGCCAGCATGAGGCTTGCAAGCTCACTGATATAAAGCACAGGAGGATTGTGGGGCTAATTAGCGCAAGACTGCCCATGTGGCCTGTCTATTTTTCCTTAGCTGCTCAAAAAAAAAAAAAGGCACAGCCGTTTCTAAACATGTTCATATACGCATTTATATTATGTGTAATTACGATAGGCTCGTTCGCTTAGAATCGTCCATAACCTGAAGGCGCAAATGAACCCTATTTATTGCAGAGGCACAGGCACAATTGTTTTTCGGGGGGTAAGGGAACCACCTTGATCTGAAGAGGGTGCCAGACAGATAAGTGAAGTTGAGTGTCACTTTTTGCTCTATAAGCAAGAGCGAAAAGATTTTTTGGGGGGTGGGGGGAGGAGGTAGAGAACGGCACTGGCCCAGTGTGTCACCCGCTGGCCAGACCACTGAGTGATTGCAGGCAAAGAAATAATCATACATAATCATCGTATGGGCGCTGCCTTTATTTATCACTAAGTAGTATTCCTTCGGCCCTCATCAAGTTGCTTTAACTACAATCCGCGTATTTGGAAACGAATTTCCCGGTGTTTCGCATGCAGAGGTAGCAGACAACGCTATTTCGCCAATTCCAAAGCGACAGCAGCGCCACCGTTGCAAGATACCGGAGGGGGCCGCTTCTCGCCGCTGAAACCACACGCTCTTACCCAACTGACAGTATCTATAAAATGTTGCTCACAATCAAGCACTTCTGTGCCCATTTGTATATGCGTAAATAACTGTTTATCCACACTACCGCTGCAACAGTGCTGCCATCTATAGCCTAATCTCGGTGCAAATAGAGCTGTTGATAACAATGAAGATAAGGTTGGCTGGTTCTGCTAAGTGTAGAGTATACTATGGCATCAGCCGCTCCCAAAATTTAAAACATACTGCGAATTTCTCTCACATGAAAAGACAACTTCCCAACAGTAACCAATAATAATTTTGTTGTAATTCAGCTATCAAGCATCACACAGCTACAAAAAGATTGAAAATTTGAGGCTGCAAAATGATGATTAAGACTGCTTGTCACAGTCCTAGCCAGGCTGTGCAATCAATGGCAATAGTAGAAGCACTGGATTACTGATATAAGTTTACCAGTTGCATTTTATATTAAAAAAACTAGGAAGAAAAGTGAAAAAAATTCTAAAAATTGAAAAGTTTCACCTTATGCATTTGTTTGCAATGCAACAAAGATTACACTGAAATCTAGTTGATACAATTCTGCCCAAGATGTTTTCTGAAATACCTGCTTTCTTTTCCCCCCTAACGTCCCAGTGGAGCAGTTGTGAGAATTGAGACAAGCCCGACACTTTTGCGTGGGCTTTGCCACCTTTTCTGCCGTTCTCATGTCCGAACATGTCTCCCCTGCTCCCCTGTCTGCCGCGCTGGGAGAGCAAGGAATGACGTTTAATCCCTCTCATCCAGTAGCCGATGTCGACTGTGGGGCTGCGCACGGAGCCTCTCGAGAGGTTTTGCGCGCGTGCGTTGGGA